TCTTTTTCAGGCTGAACAGCCCCAACTCTTTCAGCCTGTCTTCATAGGAGAGGTGCTCCAGCCCTCGGATCATCCTGGTGGCCCTTCTCTGGACTTGTTCTAAGACATGGACTAACCGGTCCATGTCTTTCTTATGTTGGGGGCTCCAGAACTGGACGCAGTACTCCAGGTGGGGCCTTACAAGAGCGGAGTAGAGGGGCAGAATCACCTCCCTCGACCTGCTGGACACGCTTCTCTTGATGCAGCCCAGGATACAGTTGGCCTTTTGGGCTGCAAGCGCACATTGTCTGCTCCTGTTCAGCTTCTCGCTCACCACCACTCCCAAGTCCTTCTCTTCGGAGCTTGTCTCAAGCCATTCATCACCCAGCCTGTATTTGTGCCTGGGGTTGCCCCGACCCAGGTGCAGGACCTTGCATTTGGCCTTGTTGAACTTCATGAGGTTGGCACCGGCCCACCTCTCAAGTCTGTCAAGGTCCCTCTGGATGGCATCCCTTCCCTCCAGCATGTCAGCCGCACCACACAGGTATCAGTATCTTTCTGATTGAGTCTCAAGTAATTTAAAGTCTGATTATGTTAGGCTCATGCCTCAGAAAAATATTCTCCAAGCATAGAAACTTGGTACATTTGGGATATTCTGCAAAATATCAGTATCCTCAATTTATCTCAGGTAAACATCCTGTGCAGCTGAAGAACTTGCCATTTCTATGCATATAATTCAGGCACTGTGCATACCTGACCCGGGGATTTGTGTCAGTATGGAAAGGTTTAAATTCACCCCGTTAGAAACAATGCTTAGGTTTCAGAAAATACTTCATATTCCAAGTAACATATAACAGTTATAGTTTTTATTCTTAATACTATATAAACAATTATAAATGACAGCTATACCTCTTCAATAGGGAAGGTGAGATAAAGGGAAAACACATAATTCTATACTTGGAAATGAAACCAACCAGACCACCCTTTTAAACATAAAAAACCTGGAAATGCTCACTCCTTCTCCACAGCACGTATTTCGCCCCTAAACCAACAGCATTTGACTCTACAGTCATGAGTAAAGCAGCACTGTTTACATCACACTCTAAACCAGCACCAGCACTCATTATAAAACACCCAGGCCCTTTTTTAATACTTCAGTACAAAACCTGTAAGTGTCAATGGCTACTGTTATCACACAGAACTAAGGACACAGCTTTAAGGGCATCAGTAGTTTTTACCACAACACACTGAATGCCACTGCCAAGGGAAATGGTGATTTATACTTTTCTCAAGTTGAGAACCTGGGAGTAGAAAGGCAAATGATTCTTCAAGAAAAGGATGCATTAACTAATAATGTCTTACACATCTTGTGATGGTTCTACAGAGAAAATAAAATAAAAAAAAAAACAAACAACAAAACAACAAAACAACCTGCAAATGTTCCTTCACTCAAAAGAAAACAATGCCACATTTTCTATTTTGTATTCTTTGTCCTTCTGTCTCCAGTATGAATCATGATGAATCATCTAAGATAGCTGTTTAGTTGTTAAATAAATAAAATTGCGAGTACAAGAAATTGACTCAAAGAGTATGTATACTCTTGATCAGAGAATTATACTGTTGATTTCATTACACTTGCTAAATGTAACTGGATTTTATTCAGAAAAAGGTTACACCAAATAGATATTTATTTTTACAGACACTGAATACAATAACCTTTCCCTGTGTAACTGATTGCTCTTATGAAAAGTACTGCTAGAGATTTAACATTTTGCAATTCCATTTGTGCCCTCTGGTATGAATGCACTTGCCTATGAGTACCTACAGGAGAACGAACATAGAAAATCAGCAGTTTAAGGTATGGCGCTTGCTCTCCATGCATGTGAATTTTCATTCCATGCATGTGTTTGCATGTAAGAGAGAGGGGAAATTGCTGCAGGTTTTGATTAGCTTGTGCATTTACGATCAGCTATGGTTTGTTGTTATATTCACTAGGAAGATTTTTCATGCTGTGAAAAATTGGATGATCAGACCCAGCAGTGGAAAATTTGAATGGGAAAGCTTTGTAGAACATACCCTGAAGGGGGCAGAAACACAAATCCATGGACATCCTCAGTGCAAAGAATATGCTGCCATCAGCTTCAATTTTGCTACCATGACTGCTACTACCCAAGCAAACTAATCTGGTGTCGCTACAAGAAGTCTCTTTTCAAGGAGGCTACCATTAAAAAGGCATGTTGTGACATATTATTATGTAGGTCAATACAGAGGAAATTATCAATTACTTTATACAGAGCTCCTGAAACATATATGGCCTACTGATACAGAATAGATGCTCATCCTGTCCCTTCAGTACCAAATGCTTTATCCACGGAAAATGCATTTTTCCATGATTTTTTTTTTTTAGGGCTGATGAAAGGTTTGCCAATACTACTATATAATATCCTTGAAAGGATACTGAAGACAAGATGTCAGTGTCTCATGGCAAAGAAGGTATTTCTATCACATATACAGATAACTGTTGCATTTTTCACATCTGTAGCAGCCAAGAATAATGGGTAGGAACAGGAAAGAAGGAAACTTTCTGAACATTACAGACAGATGGAGAAAGCAACTCTGAAAAGCACCCTAAATGATCAGGGAAATACAGTCAAGCAGGTAAATTGATGGCAAGTTGAACACTAGCAGATAGCTGTAGGCAATGAGTATGCAGCCATCAAGTAAATGACAGAGATACATTTCTGTATTGATTTTTCTGAGAATGGAGAGTTTAGACTGATATTTTGAAATGTATGGGTTGAGCCAGGGCTGTGGAAAGTCATGCAGACTTTCCTGGAAATGGCTTATCATGAAACAGATTAAACTTCTGCTAGCACTGCCTACTATTATCACCCCAAGTACTTCAGCTGCTGTAACATCTGTAAAACACTAATTCTAGGGAGAAGAAAGGGCCTAACTGGTAGGAAGTAACACATAACTGACACTGCATCAGCTAAAGAGCTTTAAATCACAGCCCTTGCTCTCCCTGTAGAGGGAAAACCAGAAAATCTCACCCCCGCCTAATTTGTCCTCATAGGCCTCTCTCAGTCAGTACGTATTAGACATGGTTTACAGCTTAACTGGTTTGCTTACTATCTTCAGCAGCCTGTGATGAAAGCCACAACTAGGGAATCTTAACTCATATGTCTAGTGCTCCTCAGCCACAATTGAAGGCTGAGGCAACAGATACTGATTTTTGAAAGGTCTGCCTGAGTCTAGGTGGGCCCAGTGACTTGCAAGAATGAAACAATATCAGCTCCTACAGCCAACAGCACCTAAGTGAGAGACATGGCTAGCATCAAACTGAGTTGCCTTTATTTTTGGAAACTGTGTGAACTGAACCTGTTATTACTGAGTCAGTCAGGCACAAAGGTACAGAAAGGCTTTTGGTCCTAATGAGACACTTTAACACCTCCATCAGCAGTCCCTGAAGCTTGCTGTATTATACACTAAGTTTCAAAGAGGCTCAAAGACTGCAATACAGGCTACAAGGAGAAGTCCAGACTGCACATTGCTAAAAGCTTTCAGTGGATGATACGAATGTTTTGAATAAAAATGCTTATATACATAGGAATACTCATATACAAATGCTCATACATTTGTACTTGCATATACATACAAAATACTTCCACAGAAGTGCTTAAAAGTATCATTCACACACCAGATTTGACATCTTGTCTGTGCCCTATCTCAAAAGATAAACTGGGTTTTCATAGCATGCAAGGCCTAGCAAAATATTCTTGTATTTGATCCAAGTTGCAGTGGGTGTTGATTTTAAATGTATGAAAGGCACAAACACCACACAACTGCAATGTGTAGCTAATGACTAGATGTTTAACTGTCAGCTGTTTATTAATTTCTCTAAAATATCACACCTGTGATCAGATAGATAACAGACTGAATAGTCCCAGGGACTTGGATTTCAGTCTTGGAACCCATCTCATATCATTTATGACCACGAGGTTTCCTGTTAAACATCAGGCCATCAGCAGATGCACAAAAAGAAATATCTCTTCAGTCATAACCCTTCCTTTCAGGTAAACCCAGAAACAGTAGCTTGTTTCCAAGAGTTCTGGTGTGTGCAAGCGGAGAGAGCACATGTCGCTTAACAGACGTTTCTCCACCTTTCTGAGGAACTGACCTTGAGCCAGATGTAAACACGTTATGGATGACATTTCCCAGTACTTGCCATCCAGCCTATCCTGAATGTAAGAAATGGTTTATGAAGTGCTGAGTAGCTTCCTGTTGAATTTAACAGAGCTAACAGTACAGACACCCATCACATCATAGAATTAAATCCTTTGGAAACATAAATAAATGCAGCATTAACAAATATTAAGACAACGTATCCTTTTGGAGGGCATCCAGGAGACTGCAAAACCACGACTCAAGTATTTACATACATGATTTAGTTTCAAGAATGTGCGAAAGTCCAGAATGTAATACAATGTGTGTTTAAACGATTGCCTGAACCAGATCCCAGAGGCACAGAACTAAGCCTAATGAACAAATCTTCTAGCGTGCCGCACAGATTTCCCTTCACCTTTTCCACATTCGCAGTATGCATCGAGTTGGAGAAGGAAATAGTTTACTAACACAACGCAACTTTGAACTGGAAATCTCAGACAACATAAAATCTTTTGAACAATGAAGAAATCCATGAGCCATGTTAAAAAGTACAACTTCTCATTTAAGTAACCAGAAAAAAGACCATTGACTTATTGGTTTCCAAAATGAAAATAAACTGTTATTTGACAGAAGTCAGAGACAGACGAGACATGAAAGTAATGCGAAAAGTCATTAAACAAAACTCCAAAGTGAACAGCTGGAATAAAATTTATCCTGCTGGCCCTACAGCTTAGAAAATAATTTTCACTCCCCTGAAGTGGTTGAGATAAATGATCTAACTGAAGTTAAAGGAAAAAAAGTCAGTTTAAATCAACATTTCCTGTTACACAAAATAAAGAAAAAAGAAAAAACAATAGCAGATATCTCATGTTCAGTTGAAGGGATACCAGCTGAGCCACACTTTTTATTTGATGATCATTCCCTGTTGTTCTTAGGCTGAACTAAACCAATGTTTATATGGCACTACAGAGATAAAATTACTTGTCTTTTTGGATGCTCAGTGATTGAAGACAAATGCTAGCCTACTGACTCCTAGGTCTTGACAATGATGGATGGCAAAGATTAAAGGAAAGGTATCATACTTCTATGAATGTGTATTACAGAAAAGTGATACTTTATACAGTAGGGAGTGAATGAAATGCACGGGCAACACCTCAAGATTGCAAAAAATCTTTAAGTTTAAGATAAGATCTCACATTCTATTAAACTGTTTAAAGTTTTGTAAAGTTTTGGTGTGATTTTATAGAAATTACATCTTTATTTAACAGATCAGCTTGAGAGTTACATAAATGTATAAATAGAAAAAATATTTTTGAAAGGCCTTCACACACTACAGGTAATCTGTATCAGAGACATAACTGGAGATAAGGAAATAACATGGTTTTACCTATCTCCTATTTCCACTATGAGGTCCAAACAAGAGCATGTTTTCAAGCAGTCTTTCAAATTTCATGGGGGTTCTTGTCAGGGATGTACCTTTTACTGTTCCTTTTAAGTTCACTGAATTCTGACCGAAATACCAACTTCTGAAATATCTCATTTTGTACATATGGCAGGTAAATTATCAAAAGATTTAATCTCCAGGGACTAAGCTTCTTATGAACTCTCCACATCCAGCCTCCTTTCAACTAGTCACTTAGAAAAGGAAGGAGAGTTGGATCTCATTTGAATACGTAAGACATGAGGAAACTGGAAGGGAAAAGGGATAGAACAGGAGGAGGAAGACATGATACTGAAGGAGAAAGCTTATATGGTTGAGTGATACTGGACCTCAGGACTGGAGCTAACACAGATATTCTTTTCATAATTGATAAGAAGATGACTTATTTTTCTTCTGTAGTCTAGATAGTAGCAGAGAACATCTCAGTAACACACAATGCGTTTTTAGTTCCTTATAACATATTAACATTTTTCTACCAAAAAATTGGGTTTTGTTGTCAACACAGGAAAAAAAGACTGCAGAATGCTTGTTCTTTTATCAAGCTCTAAAAGGCCACAAGACAACAGAAAGAGCCAGATACAAGAAGGCAATACAGGAATATTAGTAATGGCTTCACAATCTTGATAGAGCAGTCTCATATCAAGGCATTCATCCTATAGCTAGTAAACAGTGCCAAATCCAGAGTCTATGAGAATTATAACTGCATCATTTCCAAGTTACCAGTCACTCTTCTGCTTACTTTCTGACTAGGAACTTGTCCATCTCCCTAACCCCAACCCATTGTCCCAAACACATCAAGATCAGTTTCAAATACAGCACTTCCAGGGTCTGAGTGCTTAATCAACTCAAACAATACATATTGGTAAATTATTGGGCTTGTCGTGCCTGGAAAAGGAGAAAAGTTAGCATGCTCTGCCAACAAGGTGAGCTAGAGGAATAATCAAGCAAGGAAGATGGTTACGAAAATTAAGGAGCTAAATGGCAATGGGATTAGAAGCCCTTTCTTGCTTGTACTGAACAAAGCCTTGAAGGGAATTAAAGTCAAGTTCAGTCACAGAAGTTAACTTTGACTGTAATTATGATATTTTAATACTAATTATTGCTTAACTGACATGGTAATATCAGGAGAAGCAAAAACATTTTATGGCTTTATTTAGCAACAAAACCTGTGTTTTATTTAGCAACATATAATGACACTATTTAACTAATAAAATCACTGGCTATCATTCAAGTGGAAATTTAAAATCCATACCAGGGAGTAGATGATCCTTTTTTTTAATCTGTATTAATGGAGAACAATATTCCACCAACAAAAATTACCTTTAAGACTGTTCTGAACTTCTAACGCGATGTCGAGGGCATTAAACGGCAAAACTGGTTCATTGGCAATTTGCAAAGTCACTTGTCCTGTTAGCTGAAAAATACAAAAAAAAGGTCAAATAATTTCTAGCAGATTTAATAGCCAGCACTTCTTTTGGAATAGCACATACTTTCACTACATTAGATTTTCAGGGAAAAATTAATAAAACCCCATAAACACATCTTTGTGAAAAGGAATCTGACTTACTGTCTTTCTAATATAAAATTCAAAATGTTAAGAGATTACAGTTTATGACCACACACAAGAATTCTGTGCAGTACTTTTCTGTGGATCTAAGACACTGCAGGAGTCTCTGAAGGGGCTTAGTTTTGCTTTGTTTTCAAATAAAACATCTCAACATTCTAAAAACAGGAATGAGGTTTACTGTTTTACTTACTCCTCTTGTATTAGTTACCGGATTTTGAGAGTTTACACAAGTGAAATAAATAAACAAACAAACAAACAAATAAATCACAGACATTAATGAGATTTAGTTCAAGCCCATGGTTAAATACAAGCTGACCCAAAAACCTACTGCCTTTTGAAGAGATATGTGATGCACACAGACATACAACTTCCAAAATGGACAGAACACGACATTCTCCCAGTAACTTAGAGAAAGAAATTCCCAAATGAGTGAAAGGGAACTCAGTCTGCTCCAGACTAGACATTAGCACCTGTCAGGAAACTCCATGGCATGAATGCTACTTTTAGGCAGTTCCAGAGATGAGGCCAGGGACTGACTGGTGTGGGTGCTTTTTTTTAACTTTTAGAAGATAGGCTCTCCAGCTCAAGGCTTAGATGTGCTACAGGAGCTGTGTATAGAAATATGTCTTTCTGTTGAACTATACCTAGCCTATGATTAAATAGAGGATTTCAGTCTCTAGGCTGCCAAGTCCGTCACTGTTCGTGGGAGCTATAAAAACACACTGACAAAAAACATGCAAGAAACTTTCATTCATCTTCTTCATATCTTGATATTGCAAAAAGGGAAAAAAATAGCTGTAGGGCTGTGCTCTAAAATGGAATGATGGCTGGAGGTGATGGTGATAATTTTGATAAAAATGTGGACTGAACAGAATCATATTGTACAATACTTCCCAAGGTGTTGAGGGAGGTTAGAATAATATCTGTCCTTCAAAGCAATATGATAGTTGCTGTGGTGAAAGTAGAATTTTAATTCTACAATATAAAACAGTAGGAAAAGACAACAAACCAAAGTAATATTAAAAACAATAGTACAGCAATTGAAAAGCAAAGCCGTCTCCCAGGACAGTGGATGAAAACAGGGCAATATCAGAAATACAGGTTTCTTGGAGAAAGATTAATAGAATTTCTAAGAAGGCATTAAAGAAATACTGTTTTTTGACCTGGTCACAAACTGATTTGGGTGCAGAGACTGAGGGAACACGCTGTATATCAGGCTGCAACATACACTTGAGCAGAGACGTACTGTGAAGCTATTGAGATATACCTCTAGAGAACACCATACAGTAAAAGCATGAATAAAAAAAAACATGCCATATATAGAACAAAAAAAAAAAGGGGGGGGGAAGGAATAATGATATGTCAGGCTGCTATCAGGAAAATGAAAAAACTAAGAGTGAACTTAAAGGAAGATGAAAAATACTGTGTTTGGACATTGGTGTTAAAATATTATGCAATAACCTCTCATGAAACATTTCTCCAAACCTCCCAACTGCATGGGTCGTTAATGCTTGAAGGCCATTACATTTTCTATCACTGGTTATACACAAAAGTCTCTGGGTTGAAAAGCATTAGAAAACATTGGACATAGGAATATCAGAGATGTATTGTAGAAATACAAAAATTAAAACTGTTAGGGCAAACAGAAATCTGTACAAAACTGTATCCAAAGCAGGTTCATATAATCCAGCCATAAGCAACTGTAAAAACCTGGTTCTAAACATCCAAATGCCATGCAAAATCCTTCCTTGTCCTGCATGGAACTCTTTCAAGATATAGCTGCCCAAAACATTAACAATCTGTAAATTGCTATGGAAAAACAACTGTGGCAATGAAATATCCTATTATAGAGTAGGCGCTCTATATGGAGCCCAAACACATTGAATTCTAATTAGTACTGTATCACATGAAACATTTGAATTCTTCCCTGACAACCCATTTCTGAAAAAACTTTCACTAAATGGTAATGTAAGATACATATTCATAGGTATATTTTAGGGAGGGACATGAACAGTTAGACAGTGGTATTGATACTTTTCAATCTGTTACCACAATGTTTAAGAACACCAAAGCATGGAAAAAAATGCTTCATTTCTGAGGCGTGAAAGTAGTATTAAAGAGGAGAATACCCTAGCAAGCAGTTTTCCTTTTCATCATTACCTCCTACAGAATCTGGCTTAATTTTTGGAAGTTTTTACCTTATTTTTATTTCTTCCGAGCAATTTTATTTTACTTTAGATTGCATAAGACCAAAGTTGTTTTCTCTTTCCTATTCAAATAAAGTTATACCATCAAAATTTTAAGACTGACTGAAGCATTTTGGAAACTTTATAGTATCTCTGTATGTAATATTGCAGATGTTTGTGTGTTAGTAAACAGGTAACAGCAGTGTTTATTAAAGCACGTACTTTGCAGGCTAATCTGGAAGAAATCAATCACAAAGGAAAGCTCAGAGCATTGATTTGAACAGAGTAAGTAATAATGCTGCACAAGCACATATCAAAACCACATAATGCAGCAAGACAGAAAAGGCTACTGATTTCTTATTTATAGTCCTATTTTTGGATATACCATTTCCCCCGAGTACAACACTGAATATACATGGAAAATAGAGACAAGCTTCTGCCCCCTTTTCCCTGTTGAAAAATGGTTGAGACTTACTATTGAATTATTAAATGCAAGAATAACTTAGCAAAGAGTAAAGACAACAATTTTCTCATAAAGTGAAATGCTAAAGCAGCATAATTGATTCTATTCCTGTACTGAACTGGTTATAACATTAATGACAACTTCTCAAACAACATTTATACATAATAATACACATACAATACATACAATAATTGATGTAACATTTGCATGATAATCAAGTCTAAAGAAAAAACTTATAGTTCAAATGCTAATTGATTCTGAAATGCTTTCCTTATATAATTTAAAATGAAAAAATAATGAATAATGTTTTCACTGCACTTGGCTTTGGGATGGGTATTCTTCAGTAAACAAAAAAATATTTAATGAACTTCCAATTACTTTAGAGACAAATATTAATATAAAATATAAAAATAATTGTAGAGTTATACTGCATATTGCAAAATGAATCTCAATATTCAAAATGGGTTTATACCAAGGTAACACTTTTTCAGTGTCTTTTACCTTACAGTGTCAACAACTTTGTAGGAAGGAAATAACTACTGTCGCTGCCTTCATCTCTCTGACACCATGCAAATCCCAAAAATTAAAAAAAAAAAACCAAACCAAACCAAACCAAACCACCTTCCAAAAATGCTGGTGCTAAAGATGATTCAGTATCAAATGACACTTCCTAAATGAAGCCATAGGTGGTTCTCTCTTCCAAAGCGTTATAACCTACTCAATTAGGAACTATGTCTTCTTGTAATTCTACCCACCTTAGGAACCTAATTTCACTGTAAAAGTCAGCTCTTAGGGACATCAGGTGGACTTACACCACCCTCCAAAAAACTGTGACAATGAAATAACAACTGGATTAAACACACACAATATGTTCATCTATGTAAATTACAAATATCCTTTATCTTTCTAGCTGCTTTATAGTAAGGAAAATAAAATGGAGTTGGGGAGGGGTTCATCACAGATTTTTTTTTTTTTTATTTGGTGTATGTCAAACTTGTTTTTTCAGTGAGTTAAACTCAGTTTTCAAGGCAATTTGCTTCCTCAAATATCCAAGCTGCCTGCTAACGACTCGAAGCACATCTACTGGCATGCAAAATTTAAGAAAAAAAAAAAAAAAAGAAAAAAAAAGAAAAAAAGAATACTTAAAATCCAGGATACAAAAACGTGAAAGCCTTCACTCAGCCTTTTTTACACAGATTCAGTTTTGCTTTTGGGGCACGCTGTTACAGATCATGTCTTGCAGGGACACATCTTAAACATTATCTGGTTTTACGGACGACACAGGCATGGCAACCCATCTTCCATTCTGCCATACCATGAGAAACTTGTAAGATGAATAAAATGAAAATATATTTAGTGTGCATGAAGATATGAAAATATTATGCATGATAGAGATAAAACTGCTAGAATAAACATCAGCATATAGTGTGCAGGCAGTTTCTTTAACACAGAAGTTCACATGCCAGTCTTGGTTTGCGGTTTTTTTGTGGCATGTGTTTGGTTTTGTTTTTTGTTTTCGTTTTTTTTGTCTAGCGAAATTTGGAACTGTGTGCTATATCTAGCCTGCATACTGTGTAAACCTCAGTGGGTGTAAGCATTGATGCTTTAGAATGTTTTTAGTTACACTAAAAATGCTAAAACCTAAACAGACATCTCTTTATACGCCAAGTTACAGACAATATAACTTAAAAAAATCAGGTAAACTGCCATGTTTATCCTTTTGTGAACAGTGCTCTTCAGTAGTGCTGTACTCCAGTTTTACCTGCTGGATTGAATTAGACACAGCTACTTGAAACTTGACTTCTGCAGTGGCAACTCCTTTATATTTCAAGCCATATACCTCTGCAACATACTTCTTTCCTGCATTCTATAATTTCCACCTTTTCATAGAATCATAGAATGGTTTGGATTGGAAGGGACCTCAAAGATCATCTAGTTCCAATCCCCCCGCCTTCAGCAGGGACACCCTCCACTAGACCAGGTTGCTCAAAGCCTCATCCAGCCTGGTCTTAAACACTTCCAGGGAGGGGGCATCAACAACTTCCTTGGGCAACCTGTTCCAGTGTCTGACCCCACTTACAGTAAAGAACTTCTTCCTAATATCTAATCTAAACCTCCCCTCTTTCAGTTTAAACCCATTTCCCCTTGTCTTGTCATTAGTAGCCCTTATGAAAAGTCCCTCCCCAGCTTTCTTGTAG